CTGTTGCCATATGGTACCCTCCCTTCTACTGGCAAACAATCTTTCCTTGTTTCTAACTTCTCAGCCTCCCTACCCCCTCCTTTTCTGGAGGGTATGGATAGGAAATCCGAAGGAGGAGTTTCTTCTGCTCTCAGTGTGTTCGCGGTGACATCATAGGTGGGCTGAACGTCTAAGTCGAGTGTGTGTTTGTTTAAAAAAAACTGTCCAAAAGTGATGTATATGGAATCTGGGTCAGCTGTAGCTGGTTAGTGCACTTCTGCATGTGAGAGTAAAACACTGCAGTTTCAAAAAACATTTCTCTCTTCTGGAATAAAACATACTGGAACATTACTTTTTTTTCTTTTTTTTTTTTAAATGATTAGTTAGCTTGGTTATCGTATGGAGAAACCCAATTCCTCAACACAGCCTGGACCTAACAGAGAAAGACAAAAGCCATTTTCAACTCCAACTGCAGATTAACAATCCACAGCATCGGGTAATATAGAAGAAAAAGCAACTTGGCCTCTGGATTTTCCATCTACCACAGAAGCAAAACAGCTGGAAGACTTTCTTTTCTTGGTAAGTTTTAAAGTTATTCTTACTTGCAAGTTTAATTTTGAGCTATTTGTGAATTCTACATACGTCTCCCTCAACATACAATTGTGAAGAAACAAATCTTAGCCTGAGAAAAGTTTGACAACTAAAATATAAAACTCATTTTTGTGGCATTTGGTAGACTTTGGAAACTTGGAAAGAATTAAAAAGGACTCTGCATAAGAGCAGAGACTAACTCATTCCAGTTGTAAGGATGAACAGTTTCAGTTGTTTAGCTGTAAATCTTCTGTAGATTTTGTTATCCACAGTTACAGGAAATTAGTACTACCAATTCTTTGCTAAGCATGTAATTTGGGTATTGTGAACGTACTAATGTGAAATTCTGATCCTACCAGAAAGCAAAAGCCAAAAATCCTATCGCTTTCAGGGAAGCTGGATTTCACCCAATATCAGAGCATAGACCTAGCATTACTAGAACTAGAAAATGGATACCTCAATAAAACCACTGTAAAAAGTCCCAAGTAAATCAATGCACATCTGTAAGTAGCAATCATTGCATACAGTTTCAACTGGATTTTTATTTATGGTACTTCCGAGCAGTAGAGGTAGTCCGAGTTGTACAACTAAGAAACCAGAGTCATACATTAATTCAGAATATAATCAAGTCTGTAGCACAAACAATTGTGCAGCTGAAAATCCAAAAGACATTGCTGCAACAGGCACTAATCTCTTCCTTTAACAATTTGTGGAACGACAAGGAAGTTAATTGTACCTCAGCTGAGCAGCAGTTTGTTTTTAAATAAACATGAAATGCAACATACAGGGGAACAGTATATTAAGTAGAAAATAGAGGGGTTTGTTACTGGTTTTTGGGGGGAGGGAGGTGGAAGGATGCAGTTGCAACTCCAGGATTAAACCAAGCAAGCTGTTTACAAACAGAAGATGAAAGCACAGCTAAAAACCAAGAAAGAATCACTACTACGTAATTTTCTACTTTTTGCCTTTCTTTATGTTGACTTGGAAATGAAGATACGGTAAATAATCCAGAACAATGGAAAAGAATTTAAGTTACATTTTTGTATTAACAAACTCTCAGACATGTTTGACACATTAAGAGAGAATGAAGGGGGTGATGCTAAAAAGAGACAAAGTGGTACAGAAAGCAAACTTAATTCAGGTTTAGTAGCTATGGGAGAAAAAAAATCTAAAGCAGTCTTGACAAAAAAGAAAGATGGATCCTTTCCAAGTTCTTGAGCCCTTTTTCTTACTACCCTTTTGTGCTTCTTTACATATTAAAGAGAACAATCTAAACAACAACAAAACCCCATTTGAAGCCTACGTTGTGTGCTTTGGACACCAGTCTCCATTCATTCATGATCAGCCAAGGTTTTGATTTACACTGCTTAGAACAATTCCTAAATCTCTCACAAATGAAAACAGCTGAGTCAATAATTTTAAAGCAATAAACTGGCTATATGCAAGGTTTTAACTCTCTTTTTGTTGTCCTCCAACTTAAGCATTTCAAAATTTGAACTTCAATTTTAAACAAATAATGGACTACTAACGTTATGCTGGTAATGGAAAAATATGCCATTTAAATTTTTACAGGAATTCACTTTAAAGAGTTGAAATTCTGAATCTTTAAACTTCTGCTAGTATATGCACGGCTTTATCAGGTTTTCATTATTGCTTTAACCGGTCTTAGCTTGCTGTTTGCAACATGTCCTATTAGGCTGGTCCTTAAAATTTATACACCAATAAATGAAGTAAAACATCCTATAGCAAACATTGCTAGATGCTTCATGTCTTCAGTATCTCTTTTACAGAGAATTCTGGAGCCCCTAAATAACACATTTCCAAAAGCAAAATGCACCACTCCATTGTACCTGCCTGGTAAAATGGGGCAAACACAAACAATGGCTGCAAACAAATGTGAAGGAACCCTCAAAAAAAAAAAAAAAAAAAAAGGCTTCACCAAAAACTCTGGAGATGTTACAATGTTATGCTGTGTCTTCAGAGTATCTAGT